CTTATTTTGTTGGTGTAAATCTCAAATAGGAAAAATAAAGAAGAAAAGTCAAACTTATATCAAATGATATTGTATATTAAAGCTACAATCATTGTTTAAATTTACAATTTATTCTTTGTAATATTTAAATTTTCAACCACAGATCATGTTTTATCGAAACAAAATTCAATTCAAACCAACTGTGATATTAGAAAATTAGTTTTTAAATTCAACAATAAAATTGTAAGAACAATGCTCTCGAGGCTAAAAAGCAGTGACCCCAGTAAGGTGCAATAATTTCCAAAAAGTATATCATGGCTAAAGGAGGCTTTAGGTGAGAGGATTAGACAGCACAAATATGATTAGACAGCCCTGGTACTATACTATCAAAACACTGCTATAATTATTGCCACACATTAAATTTTAATATCATAAAAACAATTGACACAGAAAATTCCCTATGTGAGGAGAGTACTTCAAGAAATACTGTTTTTACATAAACATAGAAATGCACGTAGTCTCCAAACAATCTGAATAACCTAATACAGTGGAATTTTGTGACATTTATTTATCACAATAATTGTGATGTTATTTAGGTTTACATGCCTTCCCAATATTTCAGTCGAATTGTTCCTTATCTTGCATTTTTTCCCTTTTTGGAATCAACATGTTTGCTGTTTTTGTTCATTTGTATTCGAGGAATAAAGAGTAGTAATTAGTTAATTTATCTATATTTTATTATTTATAAAAGTATATAAGATGTATTTCTAGATCGGAAATTATTTATTTTCCGTCTGAAATATGTGCCAGCGTGGAATTGAGAATGTAGATTGTATTATTATTTGTACAAAACCTTATTATTTGTGGAGCACTATAGATTATACACTGTTCAATTTGTATTTATCTTTATTTTCATTGATTTATAATTATTGCGCCTGAAATTGTTCATTTTGTTGAAATTTTTCTAAATATTGACAGATTGTTTTCAATTTTTTATTGGAACCAAAATGAAATCGATTAATTGGTTTGGAAGTTGGGCAATTTTATTAAAGAGTATGGGCTTTGCATTATATTCTTCAACATTTCTATCTTCCATCCAAAGTATACACACAATTTTTTGGTCGGAAATATTTTATTTTGTTATAAATCTAAATAATATTTTGTCCAAAATAGTTCTTAATATTGCTAAATTTTTAAGCGTGTGGTAATTAAAAGGAATTAAGAATGTATTTTCCATGTTTCAAAACATCAAAATGTAACATTTTTATCCAGGGTTGATGGCTATGATAATGTCAAACCACGTAGTTGATTGGTATTGCAGCCAATAAAACACTTTAAATGCTTCAAATTTTAAAAACTTTTTAAGCAATTTGTCTGTTGTATAATACTAGCTTTTTCATTTATTTAAAAATGTGTTGCAATCAAAATAGGAAGGGAAAATCATCATAATCCAAATTCCTATTTATCTGTCTTTCTTTTCTCATAAAAGTCCACAGATAATTTTTGTTTGATAATTGTCTATTTTGACAAAAATTGTTGTCCATCTGATTAGATTTTTTGTTTATTGTGAGTACAAATTTAAGTTTAAAAGGAAAAACGAACTTTTTTATTATATATTATTATTATCATTTATCTTTTAATTATGTACATATATTATATTAATTGTACACGATATTTCGAAATGAAAAATTATGTCGGGGGGGGGGTATTGGAACCAACGATTTTATTTTCTGTTAAAGAGTGCAGATTTTACATTGATCAAAAGCGTTATTTGTCTGTCTTTTCTCAAGTCTACAGAGAATTGTATATTTTGATCAAAATCTGTACAAATCTTTGACGATTTTTTATACACTTTAAATCTATAAGTTTTATGAAGGTTATTTTTTTTTCAATTAATTAAACTTTATATAAGGCATTGGTTGAGATAAAAAAGTCAGTGTCACGAGCGGGATTCGAACCCACGACCCTCGGCTAAATACGCCGCTGCTACTTGAAGTCACGATAGCTCAAGTGTGGTCGATCGGTCCAACGGACCACGACTCAAATGAATGGAGTTATTTTTGTTTTTTCTGCAATGGATTTTTGTTAAAATAAACGTTTATCAAGTAGTGGAGTGTCTTAAAAGTTTATGGATGCTGCAGTCCTAAATTTGTCTATTATAACAACAATAGACCTAGAATTATAAACAGAAAACAGCAATATCTCACTGGCACTCTCAACCCGACACGCAAGAATGGCACAATTACGCAGAAAACAAACACTGAGTGAGTAGAAATACTTTGATTGAATATAAAAAAAATTTTCTTTTGCATTGTATAAATTCACTTTTTTCCACATCCTATGTATTTGTTAAATTTAAACAATGTTTGTAAATCCCAGGCTCTGAAGATGATCTCAATAAAGATTGAAACGTTGGCACGAATCATTTTTTTAATTTTTTTATTATTTTATTTTTTTGATTTGTTTGCATCCAAATATCAAAAACCTTTTTTAATTTCTCATTCTTTTGATACTGTCTACTGTTAGGTGAAAATTATGGTATAATTATTTTATTTAGAATTAGATAAATGCATTTTTTTTAATCTTATAGAAAAAAAAAAGATCGATTTTACATGTTACTAGTGTCATGATTACAGAAAATAAATAATCAATTCTTCATCTCCCTGGTGTTCTGATTGTCTTTCAGAACGAAACGTTTTGAATACAATGACCGTTCTTCTAAAATTCTTCAGAAAGAAAAGCTGAAACCATTGTTTTGTCATGCCAAGTACTTCATTGCAGAATCAAGATGTAGGGATGGCGTTAATTGACGTAGAAAGACAATTCGTCTTTAAAGCCTCTTCAGCGAACGCTCGTGTCGGTTCGTTTGTCAAAAAGAACCTTTTAAAAGAACCATTCTGATTATGGACAAGAGCGGGGATGTGCGGACTCATGATCATTGCTTATTTCTGCGGTCTCACCTGAATATTCAGGTTCTATGAATTCCCGCATTCAATAGATATTTTTGGACGATGCTTGTTCGAAGTCTGGGGGGGGGGGTGAATTGCGACGAAATCCTCGTTGGTCCGTTTTTATTGACCCTCGCGGATAGGGATGCGACTCTCGGTCAGAGTTCAGGGTTGTTCTGAATCGATGCAACCCCTTTATTTTATTTATATTTTAAAATATTAAAGGGGTATTTTTTTATTATAACTTAACATTTTCTATTTCGAGCTTCTTAATAAACTTTTCCAACTATTCCATTTATCATATTTTATTGCGTATCGTTGCATATTGTGATGTATTTAAATAGGTAAACCTTTGTATTTCTATTTTAGCATATATTTTCAACAATTTTTTAAAATGGAAATATAATCAGATTTTAAAGGCTAACATGATTACAAAAACACAATTTCCATTCAATTCAATTCTATTTTTAGCCTAAAAAAGGAAAACAAGTGGAAACAAAAGGAATTGTTAAATTTCGTTATTTAAAAAATAAAAATAAAATAAGCGAATTACTCTTGTCTCCGCTGTTGGACCATACAGAAAGAAAATTATAAGACTGTCCTCCCGCAACCACCAATAAGTTGTTTTTATTGGAAATGAATGTGGCGAATTGTTAAAAAGCTATTTGGAAACTAGAAACGACTATGACTGCAGAGGAATATAATCTGTAAATTGAGCTGTTGGTCGAAGAAAACAAGGACCTACTAAGGGATCTTATTTTTTAACAGAAAAAGGACAAATTGGGATACCTTTTGCAGTCTGAGATTTGTTAGAAATTTGTCTCAGTTCATTCTGGTCCGCCAATTCTCGCTGTTTTATCTCTATGTCCTTCTCTTCCCTTTAATGATTAACCTTCTTTGGCTAGAAGTCTGACTGCGAATAGCCTATGTACATTTTTTCCCAATGTCTGGCACGTTCGACTGCAAGTTGTTGGAACCATTTTCCACAATTTGAGTTTTCCTAACCATCCTGATAATCTTGTTTTCCGTTTACATTCTTTTACATCTTCAATAACTGCCATCCTGCAAACTGGAGGCCTTTTTTGCGTCCTGGTAGGTTGGTATGCATGTTATCGAAACGATTTTACTCAATTAGGTCTTCCGTTATTATCTTGGTGTTCGCATAGTCTTAATGGTTTATGTTACATTTCTTATTTTCGATAATTGGCCTACTTTGACCAGAGACCTGATCGAGATTACCACTACGTACTTTTTTTTCTAAAGCCTCGTAGATAGTAAGTGCAAATTTTGTTTTGGGGTCTGCGCTTTTTCCGCTTTCAATTAGCTTGTTAAGACAAGTATCCAATTAAAAAATATGATTTAGCATTTAAGCAGTACTATCATAGTCTTATGGGTTGGTATGACAATTGTTGAATACTTTTCTATTATACTACTTTACTAGAGCTTGATCATCCTTGCTCGCCTGATCACACTATTTTACAATTACGTCCAATCTTATCTTAAATAATTAGCCTTCTTTGACAAGAGATTTGGTTAAGAATTGGCATATTGTGCTTTATTTTTCGTTTGCAAGTGTTCAAACGTTCTTCCACTGTTCGATATTATTTCACCTTTCTTGTCCGACTGGTCTCGTTGTTTTACATTTCGTCCTGTTACTTCAGTGGTTAGTATCTTAAGAGAAGATATCACAAAAAGATTTAGCCTTTTAAAACGTATTATCATAGCCTTGTAAGTTCAACTACCATTTATCTCCAGCATCGTCCAGCTCTCATTCTGGTCCGCAAAATTATTGAGACTAGATTTTACGAAGTATTTTAGCTTTTTAACAACACATTATCATGGTATTACAGGTTTTGTCTTAGACATTAGTCCAGTACTTGACATCCTGGTCGGTTCATTATTGTGTAAGCGTTTTACACTTTGGCCTTTATCTGTCGTCCATGTTTACCTTTACTCTACTTGTTTTTTCATACTGTTCGCTTATAACAATGTGTCACCGACCTTATTTCCAATGCATTACCTTTTTTTCATATTGTTGTTGTTGATCATTATTAACTACGTATATTTTTTCAGGTATGGGCGAGTACAGAGTGTCAAACTCCTTGGCCGAAGCAGCAAGGACGAGGAGAACAGTAGTGGCGGTGTCTGCGCCACTGTGTCATTTATGGACATCAAATCTGCTGCAAAGGCTCACCATTCGGAGCAGAAGCTGGACGAGAGGGTCCTCACGACGGAGTACCACGAACCTGCGGCCATCCCAGGGCCAAGCCAGGTTTACGGTCCATCCACGGCGACGACCAATTCAACGTCTACTCCGAGATTCTCGACCCACGGGTAAGAAAAGAATTCTCTCTTTAAGATTTTAACGAATAACTCATAAAGATTTGAGGGTTTGTCTTCTGGAAATTAGTGAAGATTAGAAGAGCCCGTTAAGTTTTTATATGCTGACTTAAAAAACAAGAAATCTTGCAATCGCAGGATTATTAAGCACTTGTAAAATAAAAGTTCCTTCCAATTATAATGCAATTTTTTTTAAACTAAGACAACACCTCAGAAAACATACTCAGTTACTAAATTTAATCAAATGAATCTGAAAGTCTTCGAGTCTCGTTGTTGTCTGTTTTGCACGTTTACCGCGAGTTTCTCCCTTAACCGATATCTTCTGTTGTTCGCTTCGGATGTGAGAAGATTGAAGAAGACGCCGCCTTCTGGATATACAGTGTGGATTACGGAAGAAGATTTGTGAAGTGTATTGTGTTTTCGAAATGGTGCTCCCAGTGTGCCCATGGTGTTTATCCATTTCCCAGCGATTTGACCCAGCGTGCGAAACTCTCAATAGCGGTTCGAGAAGGCTTAGCATGCCTGCATGTCAATAAACTGTAGCGAGTACAAGGCTTGTGATCCATTAAAGATTAATAACTAACAAATTAACTTGTGGAGATTGTTTCAAAGGAATCGCCTCGAAAGTACAACTCGTGGCCATTCCTTTACAAATATATTATAATGGGCGTAATAGACATTTGCTATTAAAGTTCACGTTTAAACGATGCATATTTGTTTCGAACTCATTCAAGCAGAATTATTTGGAATTCCCTAAACAATTTTGCCTTCAAGGCTTAAAAATCACTTATTAATTTTTTTATTGTACAATCAAATTCTCAAGTTTTTTATAAGTAAATGAAATAATTACCAAAAGTTAGTTAAAAACCTATCTCCGGTCGCCTTTCTCGCTGTTTCCGGCTTTCCTCTCTTTTGGCTTTTTTTTCGATTGATCATAATATACAGCCAGGGTTATTTTGAAATTTAATAAGGCAACGTCCTCCCGCTCCCTCCAGGGTCAAACGTCCATCCATTCCACGACCTCAGCTACACACGACGATAATTCGTCAACGACATCGAAATCAGGGAGGGGGTTACGTTTTTCCTGCTGACACACGTGAAATGTGCCAGATGGTGTTTTGGATAGGAGTTTGGTGACGTGAGTTTGTCCTTGTGGCGTTGTATATTAAAAATGGAAGGATTCCGCCGTCCTGGAGGACGTTGTTAACCGTCCGCGACGATGTTAGTTCAAAGAAACTACCATAGTTAAACATTGTGGATTATTTTTTGGCAAATATTTTTATAAGTCTCATGAAACTTTGTAAAGCATATTTTTGATACCAAGTCATCCACTCAACATAAAAAAGCAATATGGACGTCCAGGAGTAATTTTATTAAAAAAATTCGCCACGGATAAGTTTGTCGTGTTCAAGGGCTTGAAGGGTACATCCATCTACATCCTGAAGCAATTAATATTCACAGGAAGTAATATAGCCAGGATCTAACATTTGACATAACTTACAAATATTAACTACTAGCTGGATTACTATTTATACTTAAAACTAAATTTGCAGCGATATGATTAGGTTGATGTGCAACACACTGAAAATCATTCTAAGTTTACTTGAATTAAGGGGCTTAATTGTAGAACTGTCTCAAATATGAATTCATATTGATTTTCCTTGTCAACTAAGATATTATAACATTGAGACATAAATGATGTTAAGCCACCCCAGGAAGGAAAAAGTATAGTTGTTGGATTGAACCTGATAGCGATTCTTTTTAGCTAAGGTGACGTTCAGGTCATGAAACATTTGAAAGCATATTTTTTGTTTCATATCTTCTATTCGACCGATGAAGATGAAGGAATGTAGTTCTATATGTTTCTGTCCCAGGGTCCTAATCCACCTACGTTCTGAAGCAATTCATGTTCATCAATGTCATGGCCCAACATTTGACATTACTTACAAACGTTAACAGATGACCTATTAGTCATTAAAGTTAAAATTACAGTGATGTAGTTAAACTGATTTGCCTCCTTATTGAAAGACCATCCTATTGTTTACCTATTTCTTTGCACTTGACTTGAATATAGTGAAGAGCAATCTTTGAATCAAAACAGGTTTTCCTTCTAGTCAACAGTCGTTTTAATAGTTTGTGGGTTAAGACGGCATACATGGAATCCGATGGCGATTCTTTTTGGATAGATGACAATGGGTTTGTTGAAGCATATTTTTTTGTCTCAAATTTTCTGGTCAAAAGAAAAGAATACACTACATATAGCTTTTTTACGCCCTGAGTAGCCTGCCTCCTGAGAAAATTTTCAATCATAGGTTGATGTTGATAGAAGAAATGGAAATCTAGAAGGTTTAGAAGGGGGTTTCATGTTCCCCAAGCTCTGCAGCCTTCTGGCTTATTGTATTTTCCTAGTTACTTAGTTTCAGTCCAATTGACTCGATCCTTTATGAATTATTAGGTCATTGACTGTCGTTGCTACAATTCTTTTCCCTGGGTTTTATTTGTATCCCAGGTTATGCCTCCATTGAGCGGTAGCCTTCATATTCGAAGATCACACGAGTGGCTGTTTCTTCCCCCTCATGGCATAACTTTCAAGTGTGGTTATTGTTGAATAAACCCATATTATATAGATGTTTTATCAGATTTCATGACCGGTATGGAAACCTATCGTATATTCCTTCAATAATATAAAGTACGGTAATATGTTCACTATATTACATAACATTTGACAATACTTACGCAAAATCGTGAAGGATTCCACATACAAAGGTTAGGATATTGAAATTAGGCCTTATAAAACATGGCCAAACCAGTACACCTCTGGAAGATCTAGCTAACGTACTTTTATTTCCTTGAGTCTTGTCTTATCGTCAAGAACAGTCAGTTGTACTGACTATAGATCACCAAGTAAAACCACACCTCCTCGAATTGAAACCCAGTATAGTCATTTTTGTTATCATTATAGCAAGATGCTTGACACTGAATGTGGTACGAATCATTTTGGCATAGGCGATGATGAGTTGATGTTTGACTCAACTAGAAACTTTTAACAGCATGCATTTTGTATTTATTTCTCGACCAAAGAAAGGAATGTAGGTGTAAGGTTTTTATGTCCAAGGGTCGAAAGGGTACGTCCATATTACTCCTGAAGCAATCCCATTCATAGGACGTAATAGGTAGAACGTTAAGTACTTACAATTATTCCTTTATGTGAAGTGCACCACACTGGAAGATCGTAGGATACGTGGGTCGTTCGTGTCTTGCCTTGAATTTCGTGAAGCCAGTTGAACTTTGGTTGTACATATGGAGTTAAACCACCAAATACACGTTCACTCAAAGTCAAAAATTATTACAGCTATTTTCGTTGGTTTTACAGCAGATGCACGCTATTAAATCTGAAGAGCTTTTTTTTGGCAGAGGTGATGGTTGTGCGCAATGGGGGCGGGTGCATAGTGTATTGTCGAGCCCTTAATTTTCCTGGGTCGTTGACCCCTCGGAAGCCGCTGTATCGACATTCTAGAAGTACGACATTCGAAGTCCGCATCACCCACCCTTTTCTGCCTCCACCTGCTGTCGCAAAGTCGAAACGCGTCAATTTTTCATCTGTCAACCCGTTATGAATGGGTGCCGAAAGTTTTTTTTTTTTTTCACGAGGGGTGAATTTAGACCTATTTTTGTCAGATTTAAGTAGTCAACTCCACAACAAAATACTCGTGTATAACAGTAAATGCTTATATAAAAGCAGTATAGATAAGTCAAGTTAAATTTTAAATAGTTGAGAAATTATTTATACAGTCGATTACACACCAAGTCCCTCAGGTATTTCCTGCTTCTCAGCCTACGCCTGAACTGTGTACACCTCTCGATGTCGGCCATTAATGATTTATTCAAACCGGCTCGGGGTTAAATGAAAGTATATTCTTAGTTCTTGCAATGGATTTGCACCGCTTGTACAAGTTCGACCATAAGGTAAATTCATTTTGCAACATGATCCCATACCAAGTTAGGCTGATTTCTAGCAGTTTTTTGTTGGTATTGAATTAGATATAAACGTCCATAACATGTAATTTAAAATATATGTTTTGCAAGGATGGTAGCTTTTGTAATCTTTATATTCACATTTGACAAATTGCTGATAAAAGGAAATAAACGAAAAAAGTCGGTCCTTGAACCCGATAAAGAAAGATTTAATGAAATGACGGGATGTTTCTGAATTGCTTTACCGCGGGTTAAGCAATCGTTCAGTTTTTGTGTAGGTTGTCACACCAAAAAAATAAAATAAAATAAAAAAATAATAATTTTAATCTTATCTCCCGTTTACGCTTCAAGATAACCGTTTCCGAAAAGAATTGCATGACCCCTTCCTTTTAAAAGTTATACAAATGTAATTTCCTGGTGCGTATTTCTTGGGAATGTCTATCTATGGTTGCGCTGAAAACCCAATTGTTCATATTACTTTAATTTATGAAACTATGGTTTTGGAGAAGGGCTCCGATCACAATGAACGTGAGGTCGAACTAGAATCCTCTGATATGTCGAAATTGTCAGATTGGTTCGTACAGAAGGATCTTCAAACAGGGCTGACCATTCGTTCGGCCTTTTGTAACCACTACTGAACAAATGTTCAATAAGGAAAAGGACAGCCTTGTTGGTGTTCATCTTAAGTAATGTCAGCGCTGTTAGCATTTAACTCAAAAACTACACAAATTTAAGCAAAGTTTCACTGTACTTTTATACAGCTTAGAAACGTTTTTCCCCGCGATTCATTTATTATCTACCGGGAGCGATTAAAATCGCCCTTGGCAATGGTCAGATAGTTCCGTAAATAAACCGGACTGGCTATTTACCGGTGTACAACAATTAGTTTCAGGATGATGCTTTTTCATCATTTATTTGTTGGTTTTCTTAAACAAAAGATTATTTATAGCTTTTTAATATGAACGCAATATATTTGTACGGGGTCCAAATGTTTTCAGGTTGAATAAAATTTGCAGATC